TCTTCAGTCAGTCTTGATAGCTTTGTCTTTCTAGGAATTTTTCAATTTAATTTTGTTAATTGCCTCTGAGTTGATTCTGACCCCACTGACCTCATGTGTTACAGAGAATGGCTTAGGATTGTTTCAGTTATATTAATAAAAAACACCAGGTCGTTTCTACTATGATTCCTCGGTTGGATTCAAACTGTCAACCTTAAGGTTAGGTTAGTAGTGCAAGGCAAATGGTGTCACCTAGGTACCTTCTATTTGCATAATAAATAGCTACTAACTAAAAAAAAAAAATCAAACCCACTGCCATGGGGTTGATTCTGATCCATAACGAGTCTACCAAAAAACGAGCCAACTGTGGCCATCAAGTTGGTTCTGATACATAGTGATCCTATAGGCAGGACAGGGTAAAACTGCCCTTGTGGGTTTCCAAGATGGTTAATCTTTAGAGAAGTAAAAAGGCTCATCTTTCTCACTGTGGCTTTTGAACTGCTGACCTTGAAGTTAGTTCAATGTGTAACCCACAGGGCTCTGGGCCTATAAGACACAGTGAAATTGATCTTGAGGCTTTCCAAGTTTTTATAGGAACAGACGGCATTATCTTTCTCCAGGAGAGTGGCATGCAATCCACAGTGCCACCAGGGCTCGTAGCCTTGTTTGCAGCATAGCTATTGTCTACACTTTGCAGTCATATAAACCTATGGATCTCCCACTTAGCTTAGTTTGAGTTGAATTTCTCTCAATGTCACCAAGGGTTGTGACCAATCTTCTGAATGTCAAACCTTTAACAGTACGTGAGTAAATGTGAGTATTGTAGAAAGACTTTTCAATAAAATTGCTATCTGGTGTCATTTTCACATAATATTTTTGGTAGCTAATCTCATCCTAATAATCTTTGTCCTTTTAGTGCTTACTATAATATAGACATAATTTATGGTGATTTAAAAAATTCATTGTGAGTCTTATGATAAAAATTTATACTATATTCCTACATGCCTTTTGATATTTGTTGTTATCCCACGGGTTGGTTCCAAATAATGCCCAATATTAATTGCTAATGCTGAGGTAAATTAATAATAATATAAAAGTCTGCTCTTAATTATAAAGAAGTTTCAGAAAGTCAGGTAACCCTTGCGTTTCTGATTCCGGGCTCATGTACCTCATGGGCAGCCCCCTGAGCTCTCAGTGATGCTGCCAGAGAAGGGGGACTGGGAACAAAGGCCTTGTGATTGACTTCTCCAAACCAACCGGAGAACCCTGTGGGTCTCAGCTTTCCTCTGAAACACAGGAGGCTGCCATGGGTTGGTGTCTGCCTTGCCGGCAGCTGAGAATAGCTAATTCATTCGAGCATCACTTGTAAGCATCGAGATCTCCAAACTTTGGGACAAGTTATGAGGTTTTTAATAAACCATAAGAGAAAGGGGGATATTATCTATTATTGTCCTGTAGAAGATATTAAATTTAGGTAACCTAAGCTGTTTCTTTGGCATGGTAACCCTTTGAAATATCAATGGCTTAAAATGGTCTCTCTCGCTTGATACTTCTCCACCCCAGATATGATGAGTGAAAATCTGCATTTTAACAAGATCCCCGGGTGAACACTTGGGAATCTGTGAGAATCACCTGAGGATCTTTTAAAAATACATATTTTCATTCAGTATATCTGGGGTGAAAAGGCAGAACACGTTTGTTGGATAGCATGGAGTCAGAGTATTCTCTAGATACATGTACAACTCAGGCTTATAACAATTTTATCCTTTGTCTCTTGATATCCCCCCCCCCCAACACACACCTCCTGAATGTGGATGCTTACAGCAAATGTTGGAAGGAATGAAGGCATGGGATATTATTATAACCTTGGAGTTCATTAAATCTTTGTATAAAGTATGTTTGTGCCTGGATGAGGGATGGAAAGGGTCTTAACTGATCTCACATGATCATATGCGCTACTACTTGCCGCACAATGATCTCTGTCAGCTTTTACATATCCCCAAGAACTCCAGAGGATTACCACTGCCGAGGAGGTCAATCTTCATAACCAAACTGTGGTGGAATGTACAGATCCATTATAAAATCTCACACATTCCAATTAATTAGGGGAACTTGGTTATGTGAACGCATGAGACTCAATTATTCTTACAGAAGTAAAGGCTTTCATAATAAAGGGGAGTTTTTCTAGGGAAAAGGGGCAAAGTCCTCTAGGATCAATTTTAATGAACAGATTTGATTTATTTGTAATCAGGATACAGCTTTACACACTTGAAGTATCTGGAAGCACTGTGTGCCGCGGAGAGCTCAGTCGAGCCCTGGACAGTTTAGGATGCACTATTCATTTGCTCCTAGGACCATTATTCACAAAGGAAGGAAAGCGAACTTCCACTGATTCCTCAGGCTCTGAGTTAGCAGGATCTGAAGTCTAAGTGTACCTGGGAATCTAAGAGGGTTTAGCAACAAAACCCTGTGCTTTGATCTTAATCTGATGGTGAAATTCTGGCTGAGTCGCTTCTGGAGGCTTGGGGTGGACCACAGGCTCGCAAAGAGTAAGACTATCATCCTCACTCAATCGACCAATTGCTAGAATGTTTGCATTTTGAGACCTCCATCGGTTTTACAGAGATAAAGTGCAAGGATGACAAGAACACTTGGACTTTATTTCAAATTACTTTCAGGATCAATATTAACTCTCACCGATGTCCCAAAGTGCCATGCTCATAACCTGTTGTTATGACACAGGACGGGGAAAAGGTAACTGTCCTGTCAACTGCGATCTCCCTTTATGATTTTTAAAGAAGGGCTAGTTTCCATTATCAGAAGCAGATAAGAAATGCCAGCACCTATTTGTCATTCAAAATGGAACACTTAGCTGAAAATGGATGAAAAACCATCATGTTTTTGCTTATATATTTTTGTTTTAAATAATGCCAATAAAGTCACAAATCAAGGTCAGAGAAACTTCAAATATGATTCCTGCAGGTTTGCTAATATTTTAGACAGGCTGGGGAGAAAATTTCTCAACATGACCATGGGCTCTGTAGTACTCTCCCCACACCTAAAACAGACAAGAAGTACAGGCTGCCCTTACTTCGCATTTTCTCAAGTGGTGCTTAGTTGTGACAGTAACAGTCGAGAGATCTTGGTTCTAACCTAAGGACATTGTTTCCTACTCCCGTTTTTATACAATTAATCCAACTTTACAGTATGTAACCCCACTTGTGACCTGTGTACAGAGATCCTTTAGTGAGGGAGTACATCTGGACAGCAGACCAAAACCAACACTTCATCTGAGCTGCGTTCTTCTCAAGATCTCTGCGGGAAATGCTAAGTGCGCTACTCACCATTCAGTTTCTGTACCAATAAATGAGAACACTCCCCTCCCCCTCGGACATCACCCAGACACTTCGAAAGAAAAAAAAGTCTGCCCTCTCCCCTAAAAAATGTCCCAAATGCAGCTTCCCCACTTAGTGAAACGATTCTTCTTCCATCTCGAAAAAGAGTACCATCACCATTTCATAGGTTGAGCCATAAAAAACTGCCTTCTTTATAAGTTATACATGGTTGACGATGGACCATTTCAAACACATCAACTTTAATTGTTGTTCGGATCAGACACATGGGTGGAATCCTAATCATCTCACTCCTTCAACTGCTACAATGAGACAGTCATGAAAGCCCGCCAAATTCTATGCCTGTACTTCCAGCCCTCCCGAGTTCCACTGTCCAGACTACAATGAAGCAATAGGTACTCTTTAAAACACAAATCTGTATGTCCCACTACTATGCTAGAAATCATTCATAGCTTTACCCCAGCATGACCCGCAGGACTGGCAGGCTCAAGACCCTGCTGATTTCTTCAGTGCCTCCTCGGTCAACATTTCCCAGTCATTTTGACTTCCTTATCTTCTCAAATATACTACTTCCTAAAACAGGACCTTTGTATATACTGTCACATCTACCTGCAACCTGGTCATCCAAGAACCCCTACTTCTCCTTCATTCCTTTCCCAAATTAAATGCCCCTGACTCAGGAGAACCTTAGCTCATCTGTCCCAGACTATGATGGGACCCCCGAGTATACACATTCCTGAGGCTCTGTTCTCAGTGAAAGTCTTAGATCACAGTTTTAATGACAGGATAGCCTACGAAACTCAAACTTCAAGAGGTGAAGGGCACGGTGTCTTGTTCATTACTCTATCACCATCCCTAAGTCAGAGCTCAACAAATGTTTGTTGTCACAAATGTTATGGTTACAATGAAGAACTCGACATTGCTAGCTCTGCAATATTCAATGATATTTTTCTCTTTTTTATGTATCTTAGTGACTTTTGGATTTAGAATCCTTTAAAGAAAAACAAGCAAACAAACAAACCATTCAACTTAGAAACTCAGTACCAAAAGGCAGTCTCAGAACTCTGGGTCCTTCTTCATGTATCCCCTCGACATTCGTCCAACTAGTAGGAGTTAGTGTAGTAAGAGAAATAGTATGGCCCCATCGGGCATTATTGAAGGAGCCTGGGTTATCTACTGATCGCAAGGTTTGCAGTTCAAAACAAGCAGCCGCTCCTCAGGAGAAAGACGGAGCTTTCTACTCCTGCTAACAGTTAGTCTTGGGAATTCACAAGGGCAATTCTACCCTGTCCTGAAAGGTCACTACAAGTTAGCACTGACTCAATGGCACTGAGAGAAAGAGACATTTATTGAGGGTCATCTCTTGCCAAGACTGTGGAGGAAATGTAGGTTGAGAAAAGTTGAAGAATTTACTGAGCTACTGAATGGCGGAGTCAGCATCATGATGACACGGTGCGGATACTCGCAGTTCTCAGTCGTCGGGAAAGACCACCTCCAGGGCACAGAGACCCTCTCTCTGCACACTGCAAAGAAGGTCAAGTATAGAAGCCAAGAGAAACACACTTTCAGCTGTATGCAGTGTCCATAAACCCATCCTGGCTAATTTCACCCTGCTTCCAAGAGCAGTTCTCGTCCCAGCTGCATCTTATTAAAAACAGGTGTTCCTACCGGAAGAAAGAGTCTCTGGGCAGCACAGGGTTTGAATAATTTCTTCCATTCCTGAGGGTTTCCAACAGAAAATGTGATGGGGTAAATCCTGTGTTCAAACTTCTTTGTATATGAGTCAGGCCACTGCTGTAACTGCAAAACATAAAGGCAAAGGGCGGGCAGTTAGAACCCAGGAGGTGTGCGAAACACTTGCAAAGTTTCTGGAGAGTCAAGTGGAAAGTATTCGGGAAGCTTACCTAAAAAGGCTAACGTCAACACCACAAGGGATGCTTATAGAGCAAAGGATTATTTTGTCCAATCAATGGGGCTAAAATTTTTAAAAATCGGATTTCAAATTGGCAAAGTATTGAGAAATTGGCAATTGAATCCTACTGTGGGGATTACAAATTTGAATAAGCTTCTAAGAGGGCATTTGGGAATTAGTAGCCACCACCACCACCACCACCAACAACCAAATAACCACAAAGTAGAGGTAAAAGGACTTTTACCACAATGAAGTTAATAATAACAAAACTACGGAACATAAAAAATGCCCGGTAATCATTGCAAGCCTACAGGACAGACTAGGACTGAGACTGTAACTGTTCATGAGAGCGGAAAGCCTAAGCCTCATCTTTCTTCCCTGGAACACCCTGGTGGTTTCAAACTGCCGACCTTAGGGATAGCAGCCCAAAGCTTAACCCAATACACCAATAGAACTCCTCATTTATGAGTGAGGTAAATTAATTGTCGAATCCTACAATGGATTAATATGCAGTTAAAATAAAGTAGATCTATGTGCACTGATGTGGGGGGTGTTTGTCATATATAGTTAGGTTTTTAAATTTTTGTTTTTAAAAAGCAAACTGCAAAATAGGGCATCGTTCTATTTTATAGAGGGGAAAGTGTATACATTTTGATATCTAGAGAAAAACCTGGACAGATATGCGCAAAATGTTAAAGGCATGTGTCTTTTGGATGTAATTAATGGTGGTATTGGTTTCATTTTCTAAGTTCCTATTTCTGCATTCCTTAGACTTTTACAGTGAATATACAAATGCAACTTGGTTTGCAGATATTACTTTATAACAACAACAAACGAATGCCTACCCATCACCAAATAGTTCCTCTTCTAAGAGTTTATTGTAAGGAAAAAATCCAGAAGTGCATACTCATTTATTACCCAGTTGGTTTTTGTTCTGCAGTATCTTTTGTAACAGTAAAAACTTGGAAGCAACTATTAAGAGGTTGGCTGAATAAGCTCTGGGGTACATCAATACTGTAGAAACTGGGGTTGGCAAGCGATGACACAGGAGTCTCAGAGAGCCTGTGATCTGTTTTTGAATAGGCCACAACCTTAGAACTCTTTTGATATTTTAATTTTATTTTTTATATTTTTAAAGATCATTTAATTGGGAGCTCTTACAGCCCTGATAACAATCATCTGTATCAAACATATTTGTACATGTGTTGCCAGCAATATTTTCTTGTTTTGATGTTTTTAATGATTGAAAAAAAATAATGGCTGACACATGAGAATTAGATGAAGTTCAAATTTCAGCATCCATAAATAAAAATTCTGTTAGAACACAATCACAGCCCCTTATTTACCCATTGTGCATAGTTTCTTTTGCTCTAAACAGCAGAACTGAGTAGCTGTAAAGGACAGTGCAAGGCTCGAACTCCTAGCCTATTTTCTATGGTTCTTTTACAGAAAACGTTGGCGGGCTTCTGTTTTAGAAAGAATTCAGTAGTATGTCAATGGTATAAAAGATAATAGAGGATTCCATTTGTAATGCTGACACAACAACAAAGAACGGAAAAAATATATACCCAAATTACTCCCTATGAGTGTAATAGTTGATTTTTTAATGTATGATTTTCTAAATTTACATTTTTGTGTTTTTTCATTATTAAAGGATCACATGAAAAGTTCTGAATATATACCCATCAGGACCACTTCCTGTTTCCAACTTTGCAATGAATACCGGGAAAAGACAGACTCGCTGATTGATTTACGAAGGGCACTGACCAACCAGAACTGACAGTGGTCATCACACCGGACTCAACTGCACTGACCCTTCAGAACAGATAAAAGACACAAATATCCAGTACAGATATACAACAGCCTGAACTCAGCCCTGCAAAGAATATGGGCAATTCCCAGGGTCTACTAGTTTCACTGACTCTATGAGTTAGCATCTTGTCTTTGAGAAGAAAAACAAAACAATGCCAGTTGCCATTAAATCGATTCTAATTTCGGGTGACCATTGGTTTCAAAGTACAAACAGATGCGTGCCATAGGATTTCCAAAGGCGGTGATCATTGGGAATTAACTCACCGGCCCTTCTTTCAGTCTTCTAAAACGGTTTGCTATCTGCCTTTGCTTTTTTTTAAAACAGCAGGTAATTTTATTGTGTGGGGTGGTAGAAAAAATATATATGTATATTCTTCTATAAGTGGTTCTAGTTTGTTGTTTCTGTTTGTTTATTTTGAACCAGAACCAGCTGAATTGAAATCGATCATGTTTGCCCGTCATTGTGGCTAACTAATTCTTACATTTCCTAGGGCTTTCCTAGTTCAAACATGGACATCCCTTCTTATTATCCAATGTATTTCCACTGATACCTTTTTTTTTCTTT